TCCAAAATACCAAGTTTGTCTTTATTTTGTTCAATTTGTTCAAATAGCCTGAAAACTGCTGGATTAAAATTAATGAAACGTGAAATTTTAAAAATTTAAGAAATTTTAAAATTTCTAGGATGAGACGTGTTGCTAAATGATGAAAAATCCATAATACCAAGAAAGTCACATTCCTTATACACCCAGAAGAATTTTCCGTCATGATTTAAAAATTCAGGACCATTGAAGGAAACAGCGCTTATCGATGTTTCACTGTGTTCCCACACTTCTACCATCCCTTACTCACATAAAAGTTATGTGCCCAATTTAAAGAGTAACAGTGATCACTAAAACTGAATTTTGTGGATGAAAAAGGCTCCACATGGGAAGAGTTGCCAGCTGCTGCAACAGTAACGAGAAGAAACGCAACGCTGAAACAGCAGCTAATCAAAGCAGTCTAACAGTTTTGCGCAGCAAAACAGATCTCAGCCTTGCCAGTTTTATTCTGAAAAGAAAATTTAACTTAAATCAGTCGTAACAAAACAAATTTCCCATTCGCACCTATTCCTGCTGTCTGTGTTTAAGTTTAGAGATGAAACACGGACAGGCTATCAATTCACAGCAAATACGAGACCTGAATTCCAATTCTCGATTTTTTTTAAATCAACAAAATTCGACTATCGGTCTTTTTCCCCTGTGGTCATGCTATGCTTGATTAATTGCACTTATTAATACACAGATAATTTCAAACTTTTCTCTTGCAAACTCGTGGTTACAGATATTTATAATTTATAGCCCTTTAATTTCCATATTGCTTCAGTATAACCACTGGTAGAATTAGTAGCAGAAACTGCCACGTGCTTGTGTATTTGCGCTGAATTAACCTCGTATTGTAAGTTGAAGAATTGTGGCTAATGACACACAATTGGGCAGGGAATCGAATTTGGCTAGTGCTGTTGCCGTGTGGCAGCTTTGCTGTGTGGCAGCTATGCTAGTCGTCCAACCTCTTGTAAATGAATTATCAAAAAATTCTTCCGAAAAAAAAAACTGTAAAATAAACCGCGGAAGAAAGGTCCTTACAGAAATGCACATTAAGCTATTTGCAAAAAAATACTTAAAGAAAACCTACTGATAAATCAGTAGATGGAAAAATACACTTCGCGGATCTAGCAAGGCTTTTTTTTTGAAGTTCTGAAATCAGATGAAGTCCATTCCTGGAACTGAATATAAGCAAACCTTTTGAGTTCAGCCGCAGTCAAATTGATGGGAAGGCGATAAAGCTGTTCATTATCGTATTCTTCGACGAGTTCACAGCGCTTATTGGTCTGGTCCATCAAGAAACTCTTCACGGAATCAACTGTACTGCTCTAAAAAATAAGGCCTCACCATAAAAAATTTTCGGAAATACGTTGCAAATCAGGCCTCAAACATTTCTACATTGCACTTTTTAAGGATAAGTGAGTAGTCATTCAAACAAATATGTTTTCATCATACATTCTCTTCAGAGTTAATCTCCCGAGGATTGCTTAGAAGAAAGCTAAACGTGGTTTACTTGCAAGCACGCTTGAAAAGCTTGCCAATTTTCCAAGCAAAGAACGGATTATTAAGACCAGGAACATAAGGCTAGCATAAGAAACCAATAAGTTACCCATCATTAAACATCATTTCAAGTTAAAAGGAAAGCAAATTCAAAGGGTGGGGAGGATAAGCCACTGATTTTGTCGACGCATCACATGGATGAAGCAGACTGCTAGCGAATCGTATTGCGATCATATCAGAAGGACAACTTCGGGCTGCCGGCAATTTCCCAAGCAAAGAACGGATTAAGACCAGGAATATAAGCGCCCCTCACCCACTGGCACAAGTACTAGTGCTAGAAAAGTCTGGATCTGAAGCTAAAACTGGAGAAATTGTCTTCCGCACCCCTATCCCCCTCTTCCTGCTCCCTCCCCCCTTGCGCAGGAGACCCAGTTTCTCACCCCTTCCCCGCTGGTAGAACTTCCGCTCGTCGTTGGTAGAATTTCCACTCGTCACTTCCTCCCGCCCCTCCCCACCCGTCTGTTGGAAGCCGCCCTGGATCCGCCTATAAATTTAGTTGGACTTATTCTCGCCGAATTGGTAGGAATCCGCTTTTGAAGGCGGTAAATCGGATTTCTAAAACGTCTGGCCAATATTTCAAATTATCAGCGGATGAAGGAAAAAATTCTAAGAGACCTTGTAAAAGAAGAAATACCGATTTTTTGAGGATATTTAGATGCAGGCCTTTGCCAAATTTCTTTTTCAGGAAGAGCGATGAGCCGGCAGCCCGGAGTTGTCCTTCTGATATGATCGCAATACGATTCGCTAGCACATCTGCTTCATCCATGTGATGCGTTGACAAAATCAGCGTACGTCCTAAATTATGGTTGTTTTTAAGGCTCCAGACGACACATTCTGTTTTCCAGGACATAACATAAAAATTTCCGAATTGTAAGAGTACGCAAAAAATCGCTCTGGTCAGCAAACTGTCTTTAGATGTCACAGAGATGGGACCTCACACAAGACCTATTTTATTCTTGGATGCCTCAAATAGACTCATTTTTTCTACATTATCTGCCGAACCTCTATTATCACTAATCGACTTGACTGGCAGTAACTGGTATCAGTTGAGGGACAGCAAATCATAATCACTTCGTGAAATTCAACTTGCCCAATTTATCCTAATATTAGACAAAATAAACTAGCCAAAAGTCTAGGGAGTGTCAAAACACAATGGAATTTATGGTGGCCGTACAAAGCACACCACTTTTTAAATAACACATTGTTACCATCACTTTAAGTCAGACTTCAACAGCAAAAAACGGAGCAGTACTACCCTATACTAAGTGTCCATAGCTAAGGTTTTAGATTCGCTGGGTTTTATATCATCCTTTTCTGCAACTGAACAGATCTGTAATTACTTATTACTGTTCAGGATATTAATACTGCCACAGCCACTCGTTGCAGCTGGCAATTGCTACCCTCGAATACTTCTTTAATCACCTTTGCCCCCACGGAGAATGAATACGGAGTGAGTTTTGACTTTTGACTTTGATAGAAACGGCGTGCACCAACAGCCCGCTAGCTTTCTATAATGTTCAGAGGCAGAGTTGCCTACCTTCTTTATGTTTGAGCAGTAAATCCCATATGGTGCGTCGTGCATGCGCATCCACTCCAGCAGTCGGTTCATCCAGAATAATGAGCTTTGAGCCACCAATCAGTGCGATACCTATGCAGAGTTTACGTTTCGTTCCACCTGCAAATCGTGTTACATAAGAAGCATTACCATTACTAATAATAAAAAAGAGTACAAAGGGATATGAGTGGACTCTCTGGACAACTAACCTGAAAGACGGCTAGCAAGTTTGTTTTGAGCATCGAACAAGCCAAGATCTTCGATCATTTCCTCTACTTCCGTTTTCAAACGTGCTTTCGGGATGCCTTTCAAAGTGCCATAGAATTTCAGCTGCTCAGCGACAGTTAACCTCAAAAAAAAAGATAAACTGATTAGAGAATGATGGTTGGAGTTACCTGATGGAATTCCATTGAGGGAAAAGGAAATCGACAAGTCCAGGGTAAGAAACTGATCGGCAAATGCAGCTAAAGCTTAAGGCATAGAAGCTAAATTTAAGTGAGTGGGATGTACTTTGCACGTTTTGCTTTCAGACACCAAATTGGTCAATCCGTAATGCCAAATGCCCCAAGAGTGCGCCTGTTTCGGAGTCACATTATGGATTATTCTTTTCGGGATCACTGTTCAGTGGAATAAGCTGTTGTGGGTTGTAGTACTAGCACGAGACAATGATCCTCTTATGAAGTATGAGAGTGGAGGTACAGGCCATTTTGTCAATAGTATTGCCATGGACCAGACTGCCGAAATACTTTTCACGGAAAGTGTTCGTTATGCTTGACCTCACTGCTTTTCAGAAGCAGTTTTTCCCAGGAAACTTTGCTGATGGAGACGAAAGCGAATATTACATTGACTGTGTGAGTTGTTAAAAACCCCAAATGAGCTAGTTCAGCCCCTGATTTTCACATATTTCAGAGTAATAAAATTTTGTTGGTTCGAAAACATCAAATTCCAGACTTTGTAAACGCTCATTTCCTTTTTTTTCAAAACCGAGAAATGTACCCCTCACCACCTACGAACATCGCTACCACGCTCACAACTAATCGTATACAGAATTTTCTCAACGCCCACACTCCTGCATTTTTTAACAAATTTTATGATGCAATTTGAGAATTTTCCAGTTTTGGGTCGCTACATTTAAACAACCTTTGGCACGATATAGCTACAGCCCGAGTATTGGAACATCCGGATGATATGTTATTAGCAGATTACCCGTACCGACTGCTGGGAGATCTTGGCATTTTTGGTAAACAAACTTGCTACTCAGCTTTAGAAGCACTGCGTCATGGAGATTAGTTGCGACCCAACATGGTTTTGCTCCAGGAAACAAAAAATTCAAAACGAACTCACTTATCAAATAAAATATTATGTTGCGGGCACACTCCGATGAAACTGCGTATTGTGCGTATATCCGTCTGAATGTTCAGGCCGTACACAAATATATCGCCCGAATCGGGCCTAAT